TTAGATGGAACTTCTATGTTCAAGTTTGTGCCCATTTCCTCTTGTCCTGTCACTGGGCACCACTGAAAAAAGACTGGCCCTGTCCTCTTGACACCCACCCTTAAGTATTCTGCCACTTTGCTCTGGTGAGACCTCACCTGGAGTATTGTGTGCAGGTCTGGAGCCCTCAATATAAGAAGGATATAGACCTGATGGAGAGGGTCCAGAGGAGGGCCACAAGGATGATCAGGGGGATGGAGCACCTCTGCTACAAGGACAGGCTGAGGGAGCTCGGGTTGTTCAGCCTGGAGAGGAGGAGGCTCCAGGGAGACCTAATAGCAGCCTTCCAGTACCTGAAGGGAGCCTACAGGAAGGCTGGGGAGAACCTGTTTAGAAAGGCCTGTAGTGACAGGACGAGGGGCAACGGCTTCAAGCTGGAGGGGAACAGATTTAGATTGGAGATTAGAAGGGGGTTCTTTACGGTGAGGGTAGTGGAGCACTGGAACAGGTTGCCCAGGGAGGTGGTTGAGGCCCCTTCCCTGGAGATATTCAAGGAGAGGCTCGACGAGGCCCTGGGCAACCTGGTCTAGTTGGGGGTGTCCCTGCTGACTGTGGGGAGGTCGGACTAGATGACCCTTGGAGGTCCCTTCCGGCCTGGGAAATTCTATGATTCTATGATTCTATGATTTATAGGTGTTGATCAGATCCCCCCTTAGTCTTCTCTTCTCCAGACCAAAAAGACCCAAGTCCCTCAACCTTTCCTCATAAGAGAGATATTCTAGCCCCCTAATCATCTTCGTAACCCTTTGCTGTACCCTCTCCAGCAGTTCCCTTTTTCATTCAGGGTGTTGCCTGGGAAAATGTATTAAAGGATGAGACCATGTCTCAGGCTCTTCCCACTTAACCTTGGCCACTCCGGGCTCTCTGCTGCCAGCAGGGAAAGACCTGCATCCCTGGAGAGGTCTCTCTGGCAAGTCTGCCTTCATCTATCAGTTGCAGAAGTTACCTCAGGTGGCTATGGGACTCAATTACTGCTTTCGCTTAAGTGCCTTCACCTAGGTGGGCTGAATGCCACTTTGGAAAATGCGGTAGTGTTTTAAAGCTGTCTGCTTTAAGCCAGCCAACAGCTTCTGCAGAAAACAATTTCTTCATGCACCTTACCCGAAGAGTTGTTCCCCCCTTCTTAGCATCTCACTGCATGAATACTGTGAGGACTCTATGCTCAAATTTGAATACCAAAATAAAAGAAGGTGACTGGTGCTGTTTCAGCACAAAGATTGCGTGAACAACATCCACCATCTCCTGCATTTAAAAGTACACTTATGGCTAATTCCATGCTGAACTGGGACCAACTCTGGGAGGACCAGACTGGGCTGCTGAGAACCCCAACAAACAGCTTGCACCACCATGGAGAACATGAGTTTTGGCCAATGCCACAGCTTCTGAAGCACATCCCCAACTTCATGGAATCACAAGCAAAACTCTGAGAAAACTGTCTTCGGCAGTTAACAGGAGCAAGCCAGGGCTCAAGAAAGCTCAGATCACTTTAAAAAAATTCCTGAATTGCAATTTAGGGTCATAAGGATGTGGTGGGGCTACTAAGACAAATGCAAAAAGCCAGGGTGCGTGTTATATGAAGACAGTACAAAAGCAGCTGTTTTAGCCTACCTAATAAGAAACGAGAACAGGAATGTCAGCATTTGCACAGGGCCCAGCTACAGGCAATAATCCAATTTTCAGGGAAGCAAGAGGCTGATGGTGACCTTGCCAAAAATCCAGCTTTCCAAAAATAGTACTGACAAATGAGTAGTGCAAAAATAAGGAGCTAATCAGCAACAATAAGGAGAAAGACAGAAAGTTTGTCTTTCTGCAGAAGGTAAATTATGCACCATAAGAATGACATCCACCCATTTTAAATCAGAATAGCTATCAGTTTCCAGGAACTTGTAAATCAGTGAACAGTCTAGGAAAAAAAAATTAAGCTTACTATGTTTTTTTTTCCCCAAACCTACCTAAATGTTATGATAATGAACAAGTTGTTCCTGTAAATACCCACTGCTGTGTTTTCCCTCCTTTGGTACTTTAAATAGGTTGCAAAATCTGTGAGGCTAGCCCTCCTTACCAGCACCTACTCTGGATGGAGACCAGAGTGATGGATAGTGTCATGGCCCCCACTGAAGTGGTCAATGACACTCACCGGGGGCATGGAGCAAAGCAGAGAATGGGCACTCTCCCCATGAAGTCCTGTGGCACTCTGCAGGCAACTCAGTCAAATCTCACCTCTTGTGCCTTCAACATTGAGTAACAGATCGAGCAATACTCATGTAGACCAAGCAATACTTGTGATCATCTGCCTTCCTCCCATCACCCAGAAGTGATCCTCCACTGTAGGCACCAACTAGGCCCATTTTGTAACCTAATAAGTGCAAACTGGAGATGTGATACCTTCTGGAAATGTGAGAGTTTTCTTGGCACGCATTCCTCTGCAAGATTAAGTGCTGGGCAGTCATTATGGGCATTGTTATCTCAGCACATGACAGGCTTGAAAAAACTTTACGGCAGGAGGCAGTTGAACTTCTCTGTGAGAGATGCAAAAATCACACCGGGTATAGACTTTTTTGTAACCAGGAAGATCAAAGACCCAAAGCAATGACCAAAGCATGAAGGGCTCACAAAACCTAATTCCCTCCAGAAACATCATTAGCATTCAGGAGAAGTAGCCTGAAGATCCCCTGAGGATCCTACATGCATTCCTGACAGTCAAGTTCTGGCCAAACTAACTCAATTTTATTCCCAAGGTAATAGTTTCCCCACACAATGGAGGGATCCGAGTCAGCTGCTTAATGAAGGTATCTCACAGAAAGCCAAGCCAGGGACTGGAACCGGTAACACACATGCTTACGAACTTGTGCCACTTCACCATCTGGTGAAGCACCTCCTCTGCTCAGAACTGCCAAGGCTCTCACTCAGAGAGCAGGATATGTCCCCTCTAACTCAGAGAGCACCAAACTGAATGTCTAAGTCGGAGCTAATTGCCCTCAAAGCAACTATAAGCAGGTGACTCCAATTGGTGACTCAGCCCATCCTAAAACATTTGTCTAAGAGACGTCAGACAAATCACAGCCTGAAGGTGCCCATTTCTTCCTATAGACTAGAAAGGAAGCCCACGGTGACTAGCTGGTATCTGGATGCCCTGTCCTGGGTGGAGACTTGACGTTAGGTGAGATGACACCTCCCAAGCACCTAGTAGAAAGCTGCATGTCCGTGTGTCTTTCCTGCCCATGTACAGGGATGTGGTAGGAATCAGTGCCCTGACCACTGGCAAAGGAACAATTTATTTCTTCTAACAGAACACAAATCATTTTGTTAAAATATGGACACACAACTAAAGCTTGTCACTACTGCTACTCCTCTTCAGAGCTTGGCATTAGAGTCTTCACAGACCCCCTCCTGACTCCTAACAAGTATTATGTTAAAACACAATGAGGGAGACTGTTAGGAGAAAAGGATTGTGTCTGAAGGCACAGAAGCACGAACATGTTCCACAGCATGGGTCTGATGTATTTATCTATATATAGTTGTAATCCTGTCATCAAGCAGGAGCGGCTTGCTGCACATCCTCCAATTAATGGACATCATCCCTCTTCTTCCCGCCTGGTCCTTACACATGCAGCTCTCCCTGCACCACTGACAGCCAGCCCTTTACCTTCAACCATGAGAGAAGATTCGCCTCAGCATCTTGAAGTCCTAACAACAGAAGAAAATACCACTTACTTTAAGCCTCTGAAGTAAACAGTCATCACTGGTAATTGGCCTGGTGTTGTCTGAGTGAAATAGGAGTTGAAAGATAATTCATCTTTTAGGTAATTTGGTGCCAAATCACTTAGAGAGCTATAAACCAGAGTGACAACCTGCTTCTTGGGTCCTGTTGCAAGAGGCAAACCCCACCACAACCTTCCCTTTGCTTTACAATAATGCTCCTACAATTGCTCTGCAGAAGTCTCCTTGTGCCTGTCTTGTCAGATTACCTAAAGATTCCTCTATTCTGCCTGCAGACTGCGACAAATTGCACTGCGTCAGGGATGTCCAAGACAGAGCAAAATGTGTTTCCAGACACCCTGGCCACACAACTGAGAATAGACCTGTTTTTTATCAACAGGTTCTCCATCTGAATTTTCTTTCAGCAGTGAGCTATAAATAAGACACTAAGCTGTCTTTCCTATACACGCTGCATCCTAAAAGTGCCATTTATCAGCTAATAATGATCTCACTTGAAATCAGTAGGATTATTCAAGTGTACCAAAACAAGGCAATTTGAGAAGAATTAAGCCTAATTAAGGTACAAAATGATGGAGGTAATTTACAAATAACCAAGGCAGAAGGGGACATGCTGTTCTGGTGGGCAATGTTTGCTTTATGGTTCTGTTATGCTCTGAGGCAAGAGACGGATTCTCTTCTGAGGGGGAGCTTTAAACGAGGGAAAGAGACAACAATTTAAGTGGGAATGTGGGACTGGGAAAAGGAAACAGCAAGAATGTACGTATATGGCACATACAGTGACTTTCTGTGCCCCATTGTCTTTCCTGGGCCTGTCTCATCTGGGAGGCTTCATTTTCCATGATCCACTGTCATGCTTGCCCTATATGAGAGGGAAGGCTGGCGTTTGGCAGAAGACACAGTTCAGCCATTTAACTTGGCCAGCCATAAAAAAGAAAGGGACCGCTAAGGATTCAAATTCAGCTCGCAGTTGGGATCCTCATTTTCATCCCTCTGAAAAGTATAGCCAACAGAAGTGTGAAAAACATCAATTATCTTTTGAAAATCTAAGCCTTATTGTTAGAAACTTTGAAAAAAAATGCCGAAAAACATATTTTCCTGAAACTAGGCAAATTCATGACAGTCACCCACATTGTATAATCAGAAGGTGAAATACATCTAAGTAACGTAAGAACGTTTCAAAATAACACAACGTTCCCCAGATGTCTTCAGGCTCTACTGGGATTTTATTCAATTCCCTGAAACAAGGAGAGAAGCTTTCCAAGTAATTGGACTAACAGGCCTTAGCACCAAGCTTCACATCTCTCCAAGCTGGCGCTCAGTTGCCAGCTTCTGCCCTGCCTCTTCATATGCTGGGAACGTGATGGCAATGAGCTCCTTTTCCAGCATTTCCAATTGAACCCTGATGTCTGACACAGTGTTTTTCACAACATTCAACTGCATCTTCAATTCATTGTAATCATCATGGAAGGATCTGCTCGTATTGTAGAGAATGGGACAGCCCTGTTCCTCCCCAAGTAGATGATTCTCTTTCAGGAAGATGTCAAGGAGTTGGTATAATTCCTGGAGAGCCCAGACAATTTCATGCTCACTCAGCATACTTGGGGAAGACTTGATCTTTTTCTGGGTTGGAGTGGTGCTTTTTTCTTTATCTTCATGTTCCAGCTGGGGCCCTGGGCTACCTTCTTCCACAGCTGTGATGGTGTCAGTATCCTGCTGAAGATCTGAGCTGGCACCCTTGTTCTCTTCATGAACTCTGATGGGTTTTTCATCTTTCCAAATGATGGGGACTGTTTTATTCTCCTGCTGGAAATCCTGTGAGACTCTGTTCTTTTCTTGGACCACCTGGAGAGCTTTGTCTCCTGAGCTGATTGGAAAGCCTATGTTCCTCTCTTGAAAGAATGGGAACGGCTTATTTTCCTTTTGGGGGCTTTGCTGAATGGCATCACTGTAAATAACCTGGACAGCTCTATTCTTTGGCTGGAGACATTGTAGAGATTTGTTTTCTTCCCAGAGCATCCTGTTCTCAATCCGGAGGACATGGTTTTCCTCCCAGAGTGCTCTGTTCTCCTCCCAGATGCTCCACTCATTCTGTGCCTTTTTGCTAAAGAGTTTCCGTTGGGAAGTAATGGGTGGCTGGCAGAACATCTCATTCACCCATTTACCGTCCACAAAGACAAACATGTCATCCCTCAGTTTCATCCGGGGGGTGATATATTCCATCTCGGGCTCTGGACACTGGTTCGTTAGATCAAAAGCAGACATGGCCTTTCTTTAGTGGTTTGAGGAAGACTTGTGGGAAAAGGCTTCTTCCAAGACTCCTGCAAGAGGCCACTGTCCACTGGCAAGGAGTAGGTGACACAGCAGGGATGGAGAAGCTTGATCTAGAACTGAAAGAACAGCCAATACAAATGCACAGAGTTACTGCCAAAATTCAAGGTCAGAATTAAAGTCCATTGAAGGACAAGAACAAGCAAATAAGTCAGTACCCACAGTCGATTCTGTTGCTTCTTTGACTCTGGGAGGTAAGAAATACACCAGAAATGCAGTTTATAGAGGCTGAGAAAATTGGCATTGGTAGATAAAGCAGCATTATGGCTGCACACAAACTTTGATGTAAAATCTGGATTCTTCTTTTATCTCTCTACCTCATTTTTGTAGACACATAAGGGGGTAAGATGCAAAAGTATTTTGCACCTCAGAATAGCCCATTCCCAACTGAGTGACAAATGAATTAAAAATCATTACGAAACTGAAACCACTTTTCAAAACAAAACATTTTTAAAGGATGATAGTGAAAAACTAGTCTCAAGAGCAGCTTTTTCTTGTTAATGCTCAGTAGCCTGTGTTAACAGGACACCACAAAATGTGTTGGCATTTCTGATTTTTAATCTTAAAATCCACGGAACTGTGAATAGCAAGAGCTGTGAACTGTGCAATATGCACAAATAATTAAAAATTCAAACCTCAGCCCTGGAACATTGGGACTAGGAGAGCTCTGTTGCTCTTTGCATGTTTTTCTGATAAGTTCCCATCACCATGGTCCAAAAACTGTCACAACCCATAGGTAATTCTCCATCTTTCCTTCTATTTTCTCCCAGATCACTCTTTTCTTTATATCCTTTGATAGCTCTATTATTTTTCTTGCTTTCTAGGCTTGCAATAGTGATTGCTCATCTCTTTCTCGCAGTCTATCTGCCTCTTTTTCACATCGCCAGAAAACTCATCTTTTTAAAATCCACACTGCTGGGCTGTGCCTCCAATGCTTCTCATTTCAGTCACAGAAGCCTCAGACTTATCTGTTAAACACCCTTCCTTCCCTCTGCCCAAAATGTTGCTACTTAAATCACCTTCTAGTTAAAAGTAAACCTGGGCAAGTGAAGGATTTCAGTATTTTACTTGAACAAAAGAAAAAAACATCCAAAAAGTGGCTTATGCTAAAGAAAATCTTATTTTTTCAGTTTTTACCATGATTAAATTTGTGTGATTTTCAAGACGTAGTCGTTTGAGCTGAGGTTGAGCTATACTTATAACCAATTGTTAGAATTCTTCAGGCTTCTGCACAATGTTTCTAACAGCACAATTGTGCCATTTTCTAGTATTAAAAAAAAGAAGTTGGCCATCAAATTTCACCCAGGTATGCCCTTTTCCCTCCCTCAGGTCCCTCAGTTGCCCTCCTGTCCCTTGTGAAACCCAGTTCTGCCTTTCTGTCGGGGAGGAGAGCTTTACAATCGTGAATTTTACCCCCATGTCTCTGCCCCGAGCGTTAGGCATGGAGTGACAACCATGTACAAGCTCTTCATACCCTCCAGCTCTGCCATCACACTGTGCACCCCTTTCCCTGTTTTTGCCCCCTCCTTTCTAAAATCTGCCACTGCCCCTTTTCCCTGCCACCCCCACCCTACAGAACTGCAGCTCTGGGCTGGGCTCCTCCAGGTTACTTCCGAGAACCAACATCTATAGATGCTTCCTTTACTTCCTTCCCAAGTTTGTCCAAAAACTCAGCAAATTATTGATCACATTCAAAATCCAAAACCCCTTAATGCAGAAGATGGCAATTACAGTGTAAGTCTGTTTGCAGTAACACTTGATTTAACTACAGTAGGGTCTTCTTCGGACTTTCGAGGTTGTCTCCTGCATCACCATTTGGCTTATCTCGCATCAGAATCATATTTTCACTCTGCTAAAAAGGATTTCCTCCAAAACTCCCAGTTTTGGGGGCTTTTGTTGAGAGCAGTACATGGCTCCCTCTCTTCCACTCTTTCCCTCACAGCTTCACCAACCCATCCGAGTCCCTCGGGGCATCCCAGTCCCAGAATTTCCACCAGCAGCCCCAGGATGGGTAGGTAAATCAGCCACAAGGGAAACTGATGCCTAAATATCCAGATGAGAAGCAGAAGACATGGAGCATCATAAGCCCAGACCCACCTGCCACTGCTTACCATGGGCAGGCAGCTAGAGTTGATAAAGTCACTTATATTTAAAGTGTTTATGTGGCAAGTTTTCAGGATAAACAGAAACGTATAATATATACAGCATTGAAGGACGTTGTCTTGGGGACAATTAAGTTTGACAGGATCTCTGTCAGCTCTTTTGCACTGCAGGGGAGACATCAACCCGGGCTTCAGAGAGGCGGTACCACTTCTCCCACCTTCCCGTATCATTTCCCTTTATCTCTGAATTAAATAACCCTGGGAAATGCTGGGCAGTCGGGGTGGAGAGGTGGAGAGGCAGGGCTGGGGGGAAATCACATGAAATCCAGCCAAGCTGGCTAATCTGGCAGCGCTAAATTACGATTTGGCGTGTGCTCACCTGCTCACCGGGGCTGATGGTCTTCCTTCTCCCTGCACTCCTGCCAAGCACGGAGTCCTGCTTGAAGTCCTGCTGAGGTCCTGCTGCTGCCAGGGTGTCCGGGGCAGCACTGGTGGCAACAGGAGACAGGGGGGACCCACTGTGATGCAAGCACTGGCAGGGACCTCCCCCGAGAACCAGCCCCCCAGCTCCTGCCCCGGGGACTGTGAGGTCCTGCGCATCCTTGTACAACCCACTTCTGAGCTCCTTCCCCACTGGCCCCCAAGGACTCTCTTTGATTTTTCCCAGCACTGTGGTTTTGGGATATTTCTCATGGAAATGACCTTTCTGGTAGTTCAGCTCTCATGCCCTTTCCTGAACCCAGACTTCCCGATCTGCCTTTGATGCTCATAACTGAGAGCAATTTGGACGGATTCTTTCTCCTTCACACCCCTTTAAAACAAACTTTGTTTTTATTCCAAATCTTTGAATTATATTTCTTGCTGAACTGATATTGACACATTCCAAAATCACTTCTTGGTATACACTATGAGACCTGAAGTTGTTTTCCAAGGACAACGTGGGTTTAGGAGTTTTTCTTTGACTATAAGGTTAAGAGCAGACTATCACTGAACACTATTAAGAAGAAAATAGAGTATGCAGGGCATTCAAGCATTGCAAGTTTAGATATTATTTGTAGCAGCTATTCCCGCTTCCATGTCTTTACATTTCTAATGATCTCATTCTCTTTCTTATTTGCTACATCTTTCAGATGTGGAATATTTTTTTCTAATCAGGGTTCTTGAATAATAAATACAGCAGTTAATTTCTTTTCCAGTGAAAATTACCAACTTGACATCAGCCTCAAGGTGACTTTTATTGCTTTTGGAAGTTGGAGGTACAGTTCAGCCTTGGTGTTAGCAAAGATGATAAACTCAGGTGTAAAATTCTTCTCTGTAATTTCTCCCTTGCTTATATTTAATCTCAGACAACAAAAAACCATCACAGGTTACTATGGCAACTCCCCAGGGACCACTCTCCTCTATTCAAGCCCCAGGATCCTGAAAAGGAAAGCAGGAAAATGTCCTGAAAAGAGAAAGAAAAAGATATCATGGGGTGCTTGTGCTTGGCCTTCCATCAGATGGGAATTTAAGGGTGCTGCCCAGGTGCAGCAGTTTTCAGGAGAGGTGACTGGAATGGCTGATCTGAACTTCTGAAGAACTGAAGCTGTGGGCCACTAAAACAGACCTTTGATGAACATTTTAAGGTCTAAAAGCTAACTGGAAACTGTGTTAATAGAGACAGGCACAGCATAGGAGTGGTCAGCAGACAAAGCCTGCTTAATCCAGAGCCATTGAAAACTAACTTAGCAGTGTACCTTTGACTTTTCTTATGTAATATTTTCCCTAAAGTTGAATGAAGTTCTTTTGGCAAGTCATTTATTTGCTGAAAATTGTGACTTGAAATACTAATATATTTGGATGAAATTTAGTCAATATCATCAGATGTGTATAGGCATAAATGGAGACGTACATCAGAATTGGAAATGCTGCAATAGCTCACTGCAGATTTTTTGTAACAGCTACACTGATTTCTGAGTTGGACTCTCAGAAGGACTGAGATGTCATTCACAGGACTACAAAGGCAGAAATAATGCTGAGTGTGTTCCCCTCCCTGCCAGGAGACAAGTAACCCCTGCTCTGTAAGACGGGTTTGAACTAACTTCCCAGCTGAGTGCTTTGTCCACAGCTTCAGACTACTCAATTTCTCCAAGTGAAGTTATTTCACTATACAAAGGATTAAATTTTAATTGCAACTAAAGCCATACCCCACATCCTACCTGCACATCTTACACCAGCCTGTTCAGCTGACTTGCTGTCCTTCTTCCTGGCGATTATCTCATTCTGGAAAGGATCCAGCGGGAGAGAGTGGATGATCCCACACACATTCACAATATTCTCCAGTTTGGAAATGCAGCTTCATGTTGGGCTGCAAGAGGTCACCATCCAGTGATGGGCTGGAAATGGAGGGGAGACTGAGGGCTGAACTGCTGCCATGAAGAACTTTCAGAAAGTTCAGGGGGATGCCATCCCATCCTCCTTCCCATCAGGAACCGTGGCATGTACCTACAGTAAATCTGAACCCTTTCCTTCCTTTGCTTGACCTGTTAAAGTACCTGCAATCAGAATAATCTGGTTTTTTTTGTAAAAGCATAATATTTCTTTGAACTTGGAGCATCTTCTCTCTTTTTATAAGCGTGTTATACCACTGAATTTTAATTTGATTAAACCAAAGACATCCACTGCCCCTTTCTATCGCCCCAATTTCATTTGTGCTTCTGAAACACCAGCCTTTGTTCATGTCAGCACAGGCTGGTCTCACCACACTCTCATCCACTCTTCTGCAGGGCATTAAGCCTGGCTGCAAATCCCACTGAGTCACTCAAAAGATTCTTGCATATTTGAGTGATCTTGAGTCATCTCCTGACCTGAATAAATGGATAGGGAGTAAAAATTATGTTTTCTCAGTTTTTGAGGCAGTGAGGTGTCGGGAAGGAGAGGTGATGATGATTTCTCAGACTTGTATTCTGCCCAGGAAGAGATGAGTGCACTTGGTCAGCAGTGTAAAAATCATTAATTAAAGCCTTCAGAACAGGGTTGTTTTTTTTCAGATGAATGGCTTGAGGGGCTCAACTATGCCACCATCTATTCGAACTAATTTCCCTTTCAGAGACAGCATCACAGTGCTGCTGCCAGTGTGCCTCAGTGTAACTCCTACTGTGCAATGCTGTGCAAAACACCAAACTCTGCTTACTCATGTCAACACCAGCCAGGATGGTTGAGTCAGCTGAGAGCTGAAGTGAGGGGTGGAAATAATCTACTTTTATACCTTTCCTCTGGTCCTGATTTAATTTTAGACACTGGGCAAATCATCTGTTCCCATATCCCCATTTCCTCAGGTTGTCAGTGAGTTTGGGATACTGACATTCTGGTGCAAGCTGTCAAGAGAAATTAGAATCATAGAATCATACGGTGGTTTAGGTTGAAAGGGACCTTAGAGATCATCTAGTTCCAACCCTTCCTGCCATAGGCAGGGGCACCTCCCACTAGACCAGGTTGCTCAAAGCTCCATCCAGCCTGGCCTTGAACGTTTCCAAGAATGGAGCATCCATCCAAATTAGTTCTTACTTGTAAAGTGGCTTGAACATGAAAATCACTACAGCAAAGAAGCTCTACGCACCACTCCTATTTATCCCCAGGATTGTAATACACACATTGTTTACAAGCTGAAGCAAAACATTTGCCTTTTGCTTGTAACTGACATCTTACAGATGTCAGGCTTTGCGTTGTTCCATCTTAGATCTCATTCCCACCTTGCTTTCATTGCACTTCAGCTATGAATATTTTAAAAAACATATCAAAACCATGTGCAGTCTCTTGGTCAACTCTAAGCCTTTGCCTGTCAATGCTATTCTTTTGTGCTGTGTCTCTGTGATGTATCACTTGTCACCAAGAAAATACTCACAGCCCAATTACAGTATCACTGTCCTACTTCTGTCTACTTCAACTCTACAGCATACTCTGTGTTGCTGAAAAAAACCCCACTGGTTGTTTATTGTTGATTCAGTATTAGCAGCAATAGTCACTGGTGCATTTATTTTTGTGGAGAGGGCAGAGGCACGCTCATCGGGGGTGATGGAGGTGCAGAGCTGACACAACATCTAAAGAAGCTCTTTGGTCTTCCCATCCACTGGGACAAATTGCATGGGTACAGTTACCTCAATGTGTCATGTGTACTGTGGGGTATCTTACATGGACTCCAGGGTCCACTCCAAGAGGCAGACCTGCCACCAGGCTGTACCAAACCTGCTGGCCCTGATCTCTGATACCAACAAACCCCGAAGAGCAATAGGCACCAGACTTGGGTCTATGGTGGCTCATCAGTCAAGTGATGCTCCAGCTCCCATTACTGTGCTGACTGACTGCAGGAGAGCTTAAACACTGCAGGCACATGTAGACATCTTAAAGTAGGTGTCTACAGTTTGGAGGTGAATCCTTCCTGGTCTACAGCATTGACAGATATGGTGTGCAACCTCTTAAAGATGTAGCTGTCTCCCCCTGCACTGACTGCAGAGAGCTCTGCAGTGGTTAACCTCTCCGATTAGGTGGTGAGAAAGGAGCCTCACACCCTAGCAGAGCCCTGCAGATCAGCTTGGTTCCCACATACACCCTGCAAGGGAAGGTGCTGCCCAGCCAAAGACTGCTGCGTGGCCTGGGACACCTAAATGGCGTCAGCTTGACAGCAACGAAAGCTTTGTGTTAAGAAACCCTCTTCCCAGGGGTTACAGAAACCATGTGCAAAACCCCTGTCCCCCATGGGCATCAAGCAAGAAATGCAGAAAGTGTGGGGATGGGGGGAACACTAAGGAACGTCCCATTTCATGAGCAAGGGCAGGAGCTGAGAGTCTCAATGAGCGGAGGAGACCACAAGAGCACAGGCTTGATTTGTGATGTCCTACAAACAGCTGTGAGGTTTGGGAGTCAAGGGTGTTTCAGCTAATTTTGAATATGGTGGTTCTTTCACATGACAAGTCTCGCTGGGTGAGAGGAAAAGTCAGCGGCTCCATTCCTGATTGACAGGGAGAAAATTGAGGGTTCAGGCTTATTAAACAATCTCTAATAGTGATTTATGGGGTCCTGTACATTTTAATCTAACAAAAAAAAAAAAAAGTCATCTAATTAGCTAAGTGTGTAATCCTGTATATTAATTGTCTATTAGCCACTTCTTAATTGTAATTGAATGCTTATAAAATAGCATGTGATGGCCACGTAGAACCAATTTAAGCCATTATCAGACTAGCTCCTGCTTTAATAATGACACTGAAAACCAACCATCTCATTTTATTTTAAAAACTGTAAAGAAGAGGAAGATCTTAAAAAATTAGTATCCCATTAGGATTTACTAAAGTCTGTACTATAAACAATGCCACATGAAGAATCATGAAAGCAACATGAAAAATCCATGCTGTTGCTAACCCAGAGGATTAAATGGCAGAGCACACTGGAAATCTACCAGGGAAGGAAGACGTGTCTCAATTAGAAATACTGGCGAGCTCAGGTATTTCCCACCTTTTGACTGTTTGA